ATATATATATATATATATATATATATATATACATACAATATGATTGGAAACAAGATCGTTCATGTTAAATACATTACATTAAATACGAAACGCCACTCCGGTCTGAATGTTAAGATGTTGAACTACTATATACAAGTCAATAAGTTCTTAGAAAATCTGTCAGAGAACACTCGCAGTGTCATGTCACATTACTTTTTCCAAGTAGCATCTTTCAGCTTACTGTCAAATTTTGAGCGGAATTCATCGCGTGATTTCATTTCTGTAGACGATTAAAGCGAACAACCTTTACATTTTATGCAAAATAAAAAAACGAGTTTCGTGCAGTGATCAAACATCTACATATAAAAAGTTTAACGCCGAAAAAATTCAAAGCCGATTGGATAATGTTCATAGCACATCTGCACCGTTTGCGACTGTATACAATTAGATGAATAAATTTAAACGTGATCGTACATCCACATGTGATGCACCTCGTTCGGGACGTTCAATTGAGACTGCGACGCCAGAAATCATTGATAAAATCCACGATATTGTTTTGACTGATCGACGAGTGAAAGTGCGCGAGCTTGTTGAGGCCATAGGCATATCACATAGTACAGTGATTTCAATTTTGCACGAACAATTGGGTATAAAAAACTATCGGCAAACTAGGCGCCGCGTTTGCTCACTGTGGACCATAAGCGCGACCGTGTGACAATTTCAAAATAATTGGAGATGTTTCAACGTAATCCAGATGAATTTCTGCGTCGATTGATTACTATGGACGAAACATGGATCCATTACTTAACACCCGAGACGAAGGAACAGTCAAAACAATGGACTTCACCGGGTAAACCAACCTCGAAGAAGATGAAGACCGTGAAATCGGCCGGAAAGGTGATGGCCACAGTTTTTTTGGGATGCACGCGGTATAATTCGTATCGATTACCTTCTGTCGAAGCAAACGATCAATGGCAATTACTACGCAGCCTTATTGGACCGTTTCAACAACATTTAAAAAAAAAAACGTTCCCATTTGGCGAAGAAGAAAGTGCTCTTCCATCAAGACAATGCACGGGTTTACACGTGCCCAACACCGATGGTACCAAATTCAACGAATTCTGCTACGAATTGCTTCCCCATCCAGCATATTCGCCAGATTTAGCCCTCTGCGACTATTTCCTGTTTCCAAACCTAATGAAATGGTTCGGAGGAAAGAAATTCACCACCAGAGATCAGCTCATCGCCGAAACAAAGGCTTATTTTGAAAGATTGGACAAATCATATTATTTGGACGGATTGAAAAAGTTGGAGAATCGTTGAATCAAGTGTATCGAGTTGAAAGGAGACTATGTTGAGAAATAAAAATGAATCGATCAAAAAAAATGTGTTTTACTATGTTTTTCTAAAAACTTATTGACCTGCTTTCGTATTATATATTCATTTAAATGAATTAATTTCAGAAATAATAATTTCGTGCCGATATGATTGGACTTTCAACGCAATCAATCTAAAATATTAATAATCCCCCTAAATTTCCCAAATCTTAAGAAACTGTAATAAACTTATTGTGAAAAATATTGCCTCGGCCGGGAATTGAACCCGGATCTCTTGCATTCCGTGCGAGCGTCCTAAGCCTTTAGGCTACTCGGTAGTAATATATAGCTAATGCTGAATCTATCTTATATGTCTATGATTAAGAGTTTAAAAATTCATATATATAACGTGATTTGGCCGTGTTATTATTTCCGTTACCGTTTGAGAGATGACAGTCATTAAATTAAGAGGGAGAGAGAGAGAGAGAGAAAGCAGCATTTATTATGCGTTCTGGGAAGTCCCCTCAAGCGCAAAGACAACAGTACATAATATGAGAAAATACATTGTAATAAGATTCGAAAATGCAAGAAAAAAGAAAAATACAAAGTAAAAATAATAATAAGAATTAAATATAAAGAAAGAAACAATATCTAGTCTACGCGAATGAGATGCACGCAGAAAAACTAGAAAAAACCTCAGAGATGCACATATTAACTTTGATTATACATGCAGAAAACTAATGCAGGATTAATAAAAGTATATAGACATTTTTAAGGCTTTGTGAGCAAATGCACGTAAAGCTTTTGTCTAAAGACACTAATGGAGCTCGAAGAGCGCACAACCTGCCGAAGGCTATTCCACAGATTGGCCGTAATAGAGCGAAAAGATCTTTTATAATATCCAATGCGACACTGCAGCGGAACCAACAAATTACCAGACGCTCTAGTCCGTCTGCGACACCTCAGCACGATATGTGAAATTGGAGAAAAGAAGGCTAGGCTGCCCAGTCCTCAAGATTCTATACAGTAGACAATAAACAAAGTACTGCCTCCTAACATTTACCTTTAACCAGCCTGCACGTCTGTAATAGAGCATAATGTGATTATCCCATCTCACCCCATAGACATATCTCAGACATACATTTATGGCCCTTCCCAGCCTGATGTTTTGCTCCACCGTCATATCCGTAAAGGCAACACAACAGTAATCCAAGTGAGGGAGGACAAAACAATAATGAGTCTAATTCCCAGAAACTCTAGCATTAAGTGTCAGCTGGTACAGTATCACTCTGATCCTCTTTGTCACGCCACCAACCTGAGTATCCCATGACAAATTGCTGAATATAACAGTTCCAAGGTTTATCCTTGGCAAATTGAACCGGAGTCTCTCCAACCATGATGCTTGGCAGTGTTTCGAGGTCAATAGAGTTGACATAACGTATAATGCCAACAATAATAGTCTGCGTTTTAGCCTCATTTAATACGAGTTGATTAGCAGTAGCCCAGTAGACTATTGAAGTTATATCCTCATTTATCCCACTAATGGCTTCCATTAGCCTACACGGCTCGCAATCCAAATAAATGATCAAGTCATCGGCATAAAAATTATATCTGCAATGTTGAGTGCTCCCAAAATCAGATAGATATAAGCTGAAAAGCCCCAGAACAGAGCCTTGCGGAACACTAGCAGTGATGTTAAGGTTCGACACAGAACCGCTACCACTGTCCCTAATCACCTGTGTCCTGCCTGTGAGATATGATGCAACCCATGTCAGCACCGAGTAAGAAAGATGCAAACCCTTAAGCTTGTCAATTAAAATTTTATGTTGCACCCTATTAAATGCCTTCGAAAAATCGAACAAAACACAGATAGTGACCCTCCTTTGATCCGCAGCATGTCTAATATCATCAAGCAAGTCGACGAGGCATGTCTGGGTAGAACGTGACCTTCTGTAAGTAGCCTGGCGCAGATCCAACAAGTCGGACTTCTCCAGGAAAGAGTAAATTTGTTCACAAATAATTCTTTCCATTGGTTAGACAATGCAGAGAGTATCGAAATAGGCCTGTAATCATTAACTGATGCAGGACTCTTAATCTTAGGAATTGGACATATCACTGCAGACTTCTATTGAACTGGAAAAACTCCGTGCATAAATGAGTAGTGTAAATGTGTTCCAGAATAGGCATAACAAAAGGCGCAACAAGTTTCAGCAACTTAGGAGAGACATCATCAAGGCCAATCGCGCTAGACCTCACCAAACCAAGTGCTCTACCGATGTCCATAGAAGTAACAAAATTCCAATAAAATTTATTGTCGTCAAATTCTACTACCAATTCAAGATCTATATCGTTGGTGCTTCATCCACTAATCTGAGCAAAATGTTCACTAAGTTTATCCACAGTGAATTGATTGAGAGCCATTACTTCTGGCTTTCACAAGACCAAGTTGCCCCAGACCTCTGAGGAGGTTTTGGAGCCATTGAATGACATATAATAGTGACTTTTGGCCTCTCTCATTGCAATTTGTACTCTATTTCGAAGCTGCTTGAAGTTTCGATAGCTGTGACTGTCACGTCTGCTGCGCCACGCCCTCCTAGCAAGATCCCGCTCCCGCATGACCATTCTAAGGAGTGATCCATGGGGCAGAAGCACTTTTATAAAGAACTCTTTGCAGTGGTGCATGCCTATTATAGCAGACCAGCAGCTTTGTATTTAAGATGTCTACCTTTTGATCTATGGACCTATCTTCAAATAACCATGACCAGTCCAGACCATGCACTTCTGGGAAAAAAACCTCTTCATTGAAAAATTTAAAATTTCGACACATTACAGATCATACCGAGTATTGCTGAACCTTGATTTTATATCAAACATATAGGTAGGCTGCTGGAAAAATTTCTGCAATCTAGTACTTCCAGTGGCGCCAACGTTCTACTACTATCATATTCGTAAAATTAGACGTTTTTAACCTATAATTCAATTGACAGTTTGTACCCAAGCCAACTATTGTAGTTTTATTTGCATAGTATTTTAAAAGAAGTTATTTTGTAAGAAAATGGAATTTTCGTATGAAAATTTTCGGGCAATAATTTTTTACGATTACAAATGTAATCTAACTCCGAAACAATGCATCGATCGACTTCATTTGGCTTTTGGGGATGAAGCACCATCCAATAGGACTGTTTATAATTGGTTTGCCGAATTCCAGCGTGGACGTACCTTTCTTAGTGATGAATTCCGTGAAAGTCGTTCACCCACGTCTGTCGTTGCCACTAATGTTGATGCTGTATGTGAAATGATTGAGCGAAACCGGCATATAACATACCGCGAGATTCAGGCATCCTTAGGCATTGACATGAAAGCAATACATACGATTTTGCA